TCATCCCTCAAACTACTATCAACACCCCCCGACTCACCATCATCACCAAATTCAGAAATGTCTTACAACTCCCCATCCGCCTCGATACCTAATTCAATACCCCATGAATACTACACTTCACCTACAAACTCAGCACATGGCCCGACACCACACGACTACTATTCTCCATCTACAAACCCATCACCCGGCTCAATGCCCACTCCAACACAACACGAATACTACGCCTCTCCTACAATTTCCTCACCCGACTCATCACCGCGTGAATACTACGCCCCGCCCGCAAACTTAGAACCAGTAGCTCGCGCTGAATTACATTCATACCCTGTTCCGTACCCGATTCCCGCGCCGACGCGTGATAGGTCTATGGATAAGTTTCTACCGGGAGATGTAAAACCAGCTGAATTACCGGATAATGTTAAGCGAGTTGAGATGTAATGAAGTGTATGTGATGAAGTGGGGTGGTGTATTGAATGTGGATGAGGGATAGTGGGATGAGAGATATAACATGATGTATATATAATTTGGATAATTGGACGAAAATAAAGGAGTATCTTTCTCATGTGGATGAAGATATAGTGTGGGTATTTTTCTTCTTATGTATAAATTGAATTATGAGATGGTATTTATCAATTCTGACTAGGTAGTTGAGGTTGTTCCTTTTGTACAAGATACCATTCTGGGCGGTATGTTATGAGTTGGATTGGATTATACACAAACTGGGATATGGAAAGTCGGATCGAGCATCTTAAAAGAATAAAAATTCGGAATATTTTGAGAGCAAGTTGATGGTGATCTTTGGAGTGCGAAGATTCAACACCTGTACGTGGTGTACTCTACGAATCTATAGAGCTAAAATTGAATTATCGATATTCCTAGCAATTCACAAATTATATTGATTCATTTTATTCGAATTATTACCTTCCAAAGGCCTTTTTGCCTTTTTATCAATCTCTTCGATATTCTTATATAATATAAAACCAATCTTTTATTAATCAAGATAATGAGTAATATATAATAGAAAAGAAGGAGTACTGGAAAGAGAAAGGAAAGGATTCTCTTGGAACTAAAAAAAAGATTTTTCAAATTTTTAGGATTTGTAGTTTGTACCCTGTAGTAGCAAAGTTAATACCTATATATGAAAAAAATGTTAGTATAAATCCCTATATTAATATTTAATACACATATTATAGAATTTAAACTTTTTTTGTTTTTAACGAAATACATATTTCATTAGTTACAAATTTTTCCTATTCAAAATAAAAATTGTTTATTATTGATATTTTCAAAAAACATAAAGAAAATAAAGGCCTTTAGGTAAGGTAGATGGAAGAAAAGCAAGTGTAGAAGCTAGAAGGAGGAGGGGAATGAGTGGGGGAGCTAAGAGGAGAAGGAGAGTGAGTATAGAAGCTAAAGGAAGAAAGGAGTGAGTGGGGAGTGAGTGGGGGAGCTAAAGTGTAGGTAGAGGGTGTTAGTCGAAAGTCTAAAGGGGGGTCTGTTTGTAGATTACTTATTTCATTTTCGATTTATTCTTTAATCAAAAGCTTTACTATTATATTATATAATACAGAATATATTGTTTAAATAAGAATATTATTTAACTTTAATATATATAGTTTTATATTGAATTCGATTACTAATCGAATTCAATACAAATAAACTTTTTTACTTCCAAATAGCTTTAAACTAAAACTTTCAAAAATCACGAAATTTCGAAAAATCGAAAAATTTCGAAAATTTCTCTAAATCCTTTTAAAGTAAAATTTTCTAATCATATATATATATATATATAAAAATCAATTATATTAATACTATATAACCGATTTTTTCAATATAATATTAATTATTGAAATTTTTGATATAATTAATGAAATGATTTATTTGTTAACTACGGATTCTGCCACCACAGGGGTAGGGACGCTAGGGTACAGATTTAGGGTTTGTCTAAAGGAGATTCGGACTACCTGGAGCCTTTTATCATTCAGATCAATATATATCCACCTTAAATGAAATAGGAGGACTATACAGGCAAGGGCTGTAGTCATACATAGAGAGTGGCTACAAAGCTATATGCGATAGACTTCGAAATGCTTTCTAAGGTATATAATAGAACTACAATATTGTAGAATTAGGGACTCAGGATTACTTATTAAAGAATCCCTTTTTCATTTTATGGTTTTTGAATCCTTTAATAGGTAGTATATTATTTTAAATCCTTAGTTTAGTACGTCTAAATACCCCTCGGGAGGTCTCCCTAGATATAAATTAATACTACTACTACTACTACTACTACTACTACTACTACTACTACTACTACTACTACTACTACTACTACTACTACTACTTTGATAGTAATCTCTGATAGTCAGATTATCATTTTCGAATATATATCAAATAATTTAATGAAATTCTCTTACAAAATCGTTCGGATAGTAAAGTATCTTCTCTACAAATCAATGCGTTGACTCTGTATTTTACTTTTTCATTAACAAGACTTCAATCAAACACCAAGAAACTTCCTTCATATCCCATTCCAAGTTCAAATTCGAAGCAAGATAATATTGCAACATACGCATCCGATCAGAAGCACAGTAAAGCAAACACTACATATCCATCCCATCAAACCCTTTACTAACGTAGCAGCTCTATCGACTCTACAACTCGTACTATCTATCTATCTCATTCCGAAATATATCTATCCTACAGAGCTCTGAAAGCATTTCTTTAGAACCCCTAGTTATCTCTTATTCTTTACGTATATTCGTATTCACAGCTCACTAGAGGGTTCAACAAGCTATTTATCTAATATCGTCCTGATAATCACCATCGACTATTACTCGTATTGTATCCGATCTTTCACATTCTATTCTATAATTGAATTTCTATCTAATCAATATATATTAGATATCCATTAGACAGAACTAATTAGTAATATCTACCTACTATAATAAATTTCACTAATATAGATAGATATTTGGACATTACATCAATTTATATTATATGTCTAGAGGTAGGTAGGTATTCAATAATATAGTTACGATTCTCTAATCTCAATTACACTTGAGATAGTTTCCTTTTATATCAAAAACTTCCTTACATCAATAACTAACTCATCTTCTAATTTACAAACTCTATATAAATACCTACCTAAATATTAAAAATTACATCTCTCTTCTTCATAAATTCTAATCTCATATTTATTCATTTATTCATTTACAATATCTCAATCCAAGTACCTACCTATTAATAACAAACTCGTCTTCTCATATACATCCCACCCTTCATTCTTAACGCATTCTTAACACAACCTCAATATAACCCAATCCCCAATCCCCAAATACAAAATCCACAATCAACCATTCATAAACATTCATCTCCCATCTCAAATACTCCTCAATCTTTTCATTCCTATCCTTATATCAATTATATAACTAAACTCAATTTCTTATCTTCTTTATTAAAATCAATATAATAATAATATATAACAAATTACTCTTATACTCCCTAAAAGTTATTTAATTACTTTTATTTTTTACAACTGAGTAATGATTTCTTTTTATTTTTTTAAATTCTATAGTATAAAATCTATAAAGGAATAAAATTCCAAGGAAAAGAAATAATGTAATTAGAATCTATTCTCCTACTATAGATTCTATTCTCCTACTATAGAATCTATTCTCCTACTATAGATTCTATTCTCCTACTATAGAATCTATTCTCCTACTATAGAATCTATTCTCCTACTATAGATTCTATTCTCCTACTATAGAATCTAATCTATTCTCCTCCTATAGAATCTAGCCTAAACAGAATAGATTCTATTACATATTCCAAAAAACATAAAAATAAAAAATATATAAATTTCAGAACATAAGAGTAATTAAATCGCATCTAGAGAGCACGAGAGTAATTTGTCGTATTATATAAAATTATTCAATTCAATAAATAATATCAACCCTATAACATACACTTTATACATCCCAATATAAGAAAATAAGATAAGTACTAGATAACATATATAACATTTTACCTATAAAAAGGAAAGAAAGAGATAAAGAGATAAAGAGATACCAATACTATGAAAAATGAATACTCAAGAAAACTACACAACTACACAACCACGATTAAACCCACGCCAAACATACCACCCTTTATTACGCTCAAAGACATAAAAGAGTCTATATACCTACATACACATAAAATAACAAGGCTGGGGTATCACCCCCCTCAAAGCAGCGCCCGCATTCGAAATGGGCTCGAGTCCAAGCATCCACATCACAGGAACCTGATAGCGGGGTATGAGGCGACCATACCATGAAGAAACAGATCTATTGAGATTGAGGCTCAGATTGAGGGGTAATCCGACACCGAGCGGGGAAATTTTTTTAGATATGGTGTAGCCTCGTGAGGTGGTAGTACCTACCTACATCTGCGTGGTAAGCTTTCACGCCCGAAAAGCCTTCCCCGTATGCCACGTGTATTGTCCGGTATAGTCACGGTTCGATTAACAGTTTGTCTGAAACCTCGTATTTCAATAATTTCTGGCGGCTACAGGTGATATAGTGACGTATCGATTTAATTCATGCCAATGATATGAATACTCATACGAGAAGCTTTCCTTCCTGAATCGTACTCCAAAACCTTCTCGCTATTCGTTGTCATCGAAAGTCTGGAGTGTCTCTCCCGTCCAACTAGACAGCCAGCATTCTGACATCTTATTCAAAACACGTTCATAGCTACCACTTGATCATGCCGTTCACTTGGGATCAGGACTCGAGGTGACTTACTCGGTACTGCTGAATCAGATACGTGGACAAGTTATCTGTGTATTCTCAAACTCGTTCGGTGGCGAAAAGAGGGATAATGATGAGTGAGGGACAACCAAGTAAACTCTCCCTGAAGTATTACTATGTCCCCTCGATATGTTGAAAAGGAAGAAAAAATACAGATACCACTTCAGAGTCTATAGTGTCTTGAGCACTTGTGTCAGATTTCACCTAACCATGACTCAGTCTTTGAAGGAGTTAATGTACTGATACTGAGTAAAGTCCCCTCCTTTGCCAGCAGCCAGCTAATATGGACTAGGAAAGACTCAGAAGAAGAGTCTGCTCGCCATCACCAATATCATCATCACCACAATCATGCATCTACATCCACCTATGCCTCAGTAGTCAACTTTGCCTCAGTCATCAACTCTGACCCAGTCATCAACTCTGACCCAGTCATCAACTCTGACCCAGTCATCAACTCTGGCCCAGCCACCAAAGGCTTGACCACAAAAGCTGTTCAATCTAGGATCTCAAAGAAGTACGTTTGCCTCCGCCATGAGAGCGTCAAAATACTAACTTGTTGTAGGAACGAAGAATCGGATGCTCAACATCATCATGACAACAATACCTCTACAACTGCTTCGACAGCGAGTAGTACAGTTAGAGGCATTAATCTGCCTCTTCCTTCACATAAGTATTTATTTAGCAATCCTCACTTCCACGTTAAATACTGACATGAAATAGAAAGCAGAACTTGTTTACTTGCCATCATCACGTCCGGGGACAGCAACAATATGAAAACCATCACTGTGACAATGCATTTGCAATAGCATCTACTTCTGCTTCAACTACCAACAGATCGACTTTAAGAGGCGTCCAATCCTCAACTTCCGAAGAAGTCATCCTCGATCCTGGGTCACAAGACGAGCAACTAGCAGGTGTTGGAAGCTGGGTGGAAGAGTACAACGATAGTTATGGTGGGAAATATCTATAAGAAGTGGATTTAAGCGACGCCGAGAAGCCAAAGGAGAGGGAATGAGAGGATTAGATAATGAAGTAGAATGATGAGATTTTGGTGCTGATAGGTCATTCCTAATTTGCTATGATCCTATCATCTCCAAAGAAGAGCATTAGAGTAGTGGGATGAAGTATTTGGATGGCGCTGGTGGTCACAAGGTTATGACTCCTGAACGTCAGCAGCTTATCAATCAGGAAAGCTACTACTTTTCCATCCCTCGGTGTGTTCACTTTGGGTGATGAGATATCTGCACTTGCTCTAGAAAACTTCACGGGTTATCCTTGACTCGATATCATCAAATGCATCAACCCAATAGAGCCAAATGAGAAGATCGAGCTAATACCTCCACGATGAGACATGAACCAACCAACAAAGCTGTAGAGCCCACGATGTATAATTTTTCCATGGCTTCGTCTTCACAAATCCCAATACCAAATAATCATATATCTCTCGGAGAATCTCCACCGTGCACCCCCAACCCTCCACCCCCACGCACCTTTCCACTCGCTTCCCGTCGCATAATCTCGGGCACTTACGGTTACACATTCGACGCGGAGGAATAAATTTCCGGTGGTGGAGAGTTTTCTGATCTGTTCGAATCTCGATGTCTCGAAATGTCAACACTTTCCACACAATTCAATATATTGAATTATATCATCAAGCTCAGCAAGCTGCGGCAAAGAATGCGATATCGCATGCGTAATAGGAGAACGATAAATTATCGGAAGCATGTTAGAGTGATGAATGGATTGAGATGATTGTGGGAAATTGATGGCGCTTGTTGATGATGAAGATGAACATGAATATGGGTATGGGTATGGGTATGGGTATGGGATTGTGGGGAGCTAAGTTGGAGAGCTATTTAATAGGTGAAAGTGGATTGGGTCATGTAGTTTGACATGTGTGAGTGAGCTTGAGCTTTGCTCTTTTGGTGTAACGGGAAGAAGGTACGGTAGAATGATGGAAGGGCCGAGACTGTTTTCAGCCTTTGATATCTACCTGCCTAGTCGAAAGTTTGATGCATGAAGGAGAGATTTTTGTGTGTCTGTCTGTCTATCTGTCTGTCTGTCTTGGAATTTAATTTTGGAAGAGAAGACAGAAAATAATATGTGTGTATGTAATCTATTTGTAGTGAAGTAATAGTGAAGGTTGATAATGATATACCTACCTACCTAGGTAGTAGTAATCAAAAGAAAATGAATCGCGTTGACAATCGTGTCTCATGTCTCATGTTCAAATCACGGGAGAGCGGAGACTAAAGATGCCGCGTTATCCCCATCGCAATAGGAAGGGATGTGTCATTGGGAGTGGTGACGCTAGATCATTTCGAGTATAAGCTACCCCGCATTTTTGTGAATCTCTGGTACCAAAGCAAAGGGTTGCCAAGTGAGACGATACAAATCCACTTGGATGAATGATGGATCTGTTTTGATATACGAATGCTAGGTATATCTAGGAGGAGTATACGAGACGAGTATGTATATATGAGGTATGAGTGTGAGTGTAATATAAGTATGAGTGTAAATATAAATGTAAATGTAAATGTAAATATAAATATAAATGTAAATATGAATATGAATATAAATATAAGTAAGTATGAGTATGAGTATGGGTAAAAATATGAGTATGAGACTACTAGAGAATAAGTACGAGTACTAAATATGCAACTACAAGACCATGACATTATCTCATAGTAACTTATATGAACATCCTAAAGAGAAACATCCACTACACATCAACCGATCAAAAAGATAAACATCAATCATGTGGCTATGCAATAAGGATATGCTTCAATGAGAACAAGGCTAAATTCATCGTGTTTTCTTTGTTGTCCCTGGTGTCCCTGTTGTATGACATGAAGAATCTCCGAAAACAGATAACGATGCATCAAGGAAGTACATCAGGCTGAGAGAGATCTTTCCATATCCCCCATTGGGTAGGTGAGTAGATGCTACCACCATATCATATGTATATCAGACCTTTGAAGTATCACCTCGGGAAAACAAGAAATGAGAAACCTGCACCCTGGCACTCGACTATATGAACCAACAATGTTCTAATTCGCAGAGAACATCGAGAGGAGAGGAGAGAATCAACACTCGCATGAGCAGTAGCAGTAGCATCAACATTAGCATCAACATTAGCATCAACATTAGCATCAACATTAGCATCAACATTAGCATCAACATTAGCATCAACATTAGCATCAAGACTAACTACAATCATTTCCTCCTTTCCCATGAGAGCCAGAAGAACATCCTTTACATCCATCCCAGAGCAGGTATAGCTTCATCATCATCTCATCAAACTCAATCCCTTCTTCGCACCAAAAAGTGCCTTGCAGCCGCAGCCAAACAAAACAAAACAAGATTCAATCAAATCAAACCTTCGACCCCGCACCCAATAATTGATCCTACCACTCTTGCTTCACTCTCCCAAGTCGGCCAACGGGATCTCAACATCACATCATCCAACCAATGCGTTGAACCCATCAATCCTAGAATACTTGTTGATCATTGTCGTGTCGTGCTTGTCTTCCGATACATTTGATTTTATTAAATTTGATTTCCCCTTCTCTCAAAGTCTCCAGCTTCATCTCTCAACATCATCTCACAGCCACATCGTAAACGACGTTATCTGAATCTTGTCTTATCAGCACAGGGCTGTACACTATTGATATTGACTAGGGAGACGATCGACTGTGCATATCGACCCAAATACTACCAGCCAAGCCCACTTTCTGTCCCAGAGGTACGCGACGGTAATCCGGTTGGAAGAATCCGGTACACGGAGCATTTCAAGTGAGTAATCGATGTTTCTCTATTGTTCGATTGACTTTACCAAGGCTATCTACCTGACCGCTCATACCGATTTCGCATGCTTCTCGCAAACTTCCCAAGGACTTCGTTTGTTTCCGGACTAATCCCCCATCCATCCCACGTCCGTTCATATGTTTGATGACGCCTGGGTCTTTTACTTGGGTCTATGCAAATAGTCCAATGATATGGATGAGATTCCCCACAGCCCACAAGAATCAAGGTCGTTCTTGGATACCTATGTACATATAAACACCATGTCCCACGTCTATTCTTCCATCATGAAAGATACAGAGTCATTCGGGCTAACAATTCACGGCTGCTTACAGAGCAAGAAACCTGCTCAATATCATATCAATTTACCTTGAATTCACACACATCCCCTTTATCAAACCATCCACAATGTCCACCACCAACTCCATTAAGCAAGCTGCCGAAGCAGCGCGAAATAGAACATCAGAAGCAATGGAAACTACCAAACGACTTGCCGACTCTGCCAAAGCAGATCCCATAGCTGTCAAGAACGATATCCTCCACACCCCATTCATGCGTGCCGCTCTCCCTTTCATCAACGGAGGTCTCGCAGGCATGACAGCTACCACCGTCATCCAACCCATCGACATGATCAAAGTGCGTCTCCAACTCGCCGGGGAAGGAATCCGCACCGGTCCCAAACCCACCCCTCTATCCGTTACCCGCGAGATTCTCGCCTCCGGCAAAGCACTCGACCTCTACACCGGTCTCAGCGCAGGCCTCCTCCGCCAAGCCGTCTACACCACGGCCCGTCTTGGCTTCTTCGATAGTTTCATGACGACCCTCTCCGCTCGCTCAAAAGAAAACCACACCACCATCGGCTTCAAAGAACGCGCCGCAGCAGGTCTCACAGCTGGTGGCTTGGCGGCCATGATAGGCAATCCTGCAGATCTCGCTCTGATCCGCATGCAATCCGATGGATTGAAACCACTAGCCGAACGCAAAAATTATAAATCCGTCATCGATGCTCTCACATCCATTACCAAATCCGAAGGCATCACAGCTCTCTGGGCTGGGTGCGCACCCACGGTTGTGCGAGCCATGGCGCTGAATTTCGGACAGCTGGCATTTTTCTCCGAAGCCAAATCACAACTCAAGACACGCACGGATTGGAACCCCAAAACACAAACCCTGACCGCTTCAGCCGTCGCCGGTTTCTTCGCCAGTTTCTTCAGTCTGCCATTTGATTTTGTGAAGACGAGGCTGCAGAAACAGGGAAGGGGGAAAGATCGGGTTTACAAGGGAATGGGAGATTGTTTTGTGAAGGTGGCCAAGGAAGAAGGCATGATGAGATTTTACAGAGGGTTTGGGACGTATTATGTGAGGATTGCTCCGCATGCTATGGTTACATTGATTGTGGCGGATTGGTTGGGTTTTATGACTAAGTAAGTGGGTGTGGTGTGGTGTGGTGTGTGTGGCTGGGAGTTGAGGAGCGGAGTGGAATGGATGGCGAGAGGGAAGTGGGGCGCCCGTGGTGTGATGTTTGAAGAAATGGATGGGTTCATGAATGAATGAATTTTTGATAATGGTAGCATGGTTTGATGGATTGCTTGGGATGGAACTGGATTTGCTTGATGGAATGGAATGGAGTTACAAGTTTTTAGGATAGGATACCGATTTTGGGGTTGGATTTTTCTCATTCAGCACATTTGGATTAGGTTTAGGAATCAGGGTACTCGGGATTCTTTTTAGTTACGGTTAAGGTTAGGTATTCAATACATTTCCGACTATTTATAATTACATATATTGTCTTTTTAGTTCGTCTTCTTAATGCGTTTAAAGAAAGATATCAAGTATATTTTTATACGTCTTGGAATGAGATAGGTAGAACAGGACTATTTTTAATATTCACATCGAGTTTGTTCAGGATAGATACATAAAGTATCCGAATATCAAGTCAGCTAATGTTCACATAATACATATTATTTCGTCTAATTTCCATTTCACTATTCCATAGAAATCAATCGAGATGATCAGTACAGAAAACAAAGATACCTAGATAGGTAGGTAGGTAAAATTCTCGCGATTCTCTCCACTTTCCTCGCATTCCCGCGCCCATCCAGCATCCACCAGCCGAAGAGGTATTCGAAAGCAAGAAGGCATCTATCATACACCTCATAATTAGATTCTCCATCAAATTAACCAGCCATAGAACGCCCAGCCGCCATACTGAAATTTTTGCGCCCGCTACCTTATTAGTTGATCATTTAACATATCATATGCATGGTTTTCCTAATTGTTCGCAAATATCCCGAAATACCACCCCTTCGCCCCATATCCCAGATCGATGCCCCTTTCAACCCTGCGTATCCTTGATTGCGATGAGAAGATCTGTCATATAAGTGGCCTGTTTAGATTGTATCGAATTAGTATAGTGAAAAGATCAATAATTGTGAGAAAGATGCAGATGAGTATTCAGCACTATAAGTCATAAAGATATAAATTGTCTCCCCACGACCTTGCGGTCAATACGGATGAACGAAAGTTATGTGAATTTGTTTTGATAATCATGTGAGAGTTGCCAGACAAAGAAAAAATTGAACCGAGAAGGGAGGTTGAAAAGAAATAGAGAAGAAAGTAGCATACCAAAATCTTATTATGCGCATAGATAGCAAATAATCTCGGTTCCACCGGCTTGAACAACCGATCAACCCAGGAAACTTCACCCTCCTTAAGAGCCGCCTCTTCTGCTTCGGTCTTACTGACATTCCTTGCCAAGTTTCGGAGAACGAGTACTGCACTGAGTGGAATACCTGCTGCATCATTATGCTCATCGACAGCTGTGAAGTGGTATTTGAAGCTTATACGAGGTGGCTGGACGATGTATGATGGCTTGTGTTTCTTGGCTGGTGGAGGACCTGTAGGTTCTTGTGATTCACGTTCGCTAGCAGGGGTACGTTTAGGAGGGAGATGAACTTTGATGTGAGTAGCGGCTTCTGAGAGCTTGGTGGCAGGAGAGGAGCGGAAGCGAGAACATGTATCCCATGCGCAAACATATTGTTGATTTGAGGTTGAATTGACGTATTTGTTGTCCGCATTAAGTTGGGCTCCAAAATGAGTTTTGAGAATATGTTGATAACCTGCTTCAGGGGTCATGTAGAATTCTCCACAGGGCTTCCCGAGATGGGTGCGCCACAAGCATTTGGTGTATGTCTCTCCTTGTAGGTCCACTGGCTCACTGCGGCATCGGATGCCTTTAATGATGAATTTTGTTACTGGTCCGTTTTGAACTTGTGCATTCGCTTTGTCGCCAAAGGTCGTGCTCACATTCTTGATAAAATCTGCAGCAGGTAGAAGTGATTTTGATGTTTGTGTAGCCAAGTAATTAAATTGTTGTTGATAGGCGTGCCACAAGGCAATTTGTGTGATGGACTCATCGGGATCTTCTTCGTAGAGGCAACGTAGCCAGCGTGAACTGCGCTCTGGTTCTTCAAACTTGGCAATTTCCAGTAGTAAATCTTGTGGGATAGGCGCAATCTCTGAAGGTGCAGGCTTTCTGTACTGAGTTCCAAGGTTGAACTCTTTTTCTATGATGCGAGCGCCATGCATAAGGAGTCGTGTCAACTGTTTGACCAGTGGCTCTGCTTTTACCTCTGTGATAAGGTAATCCACATTCTCAACAACCGCGGTGTACTGATATAGGAAGTCCAAACAAGCATGGGCAAGGTCTTCGTCATTTAGCAAGGTCCAGTCAATAATGTTTTGTACAGCGGATGCTGGCACACCCTTAAGGAGATTGTTCTCTTCAAGATTCATTGATATTCTGCTGATAGCTCTCAGGGAAGTCAAGATAGCGCCTCGGTCGTGTGAATCCAATTGTGCGAGGAGTGAAAGGTAAAGAGGATCTCCGACCTCAAAGTGAAGATACTTGGTAAGCTGTTCGGCGATATCTAGCGCGTAGTGTTTTAACTCTACAACAGTGCCGGAATTGGGGAGGTTCAAGGCAATGGTGAGAAAATCTCGTAGAGGTGCAAGTTCAGATACGTAGAAGGCGTTTTCCTCTAACATGACCATATTTCTCATTGTTAATGCTGCCTCGTTGATCTGAAGAAGAGTATCACTGAATTCTTCGGTTTGAATATTATCATCGACTGGTAGCTTAGCTAAACGTTTGATTCTTTCCAGTATATCTGGTGTGCCTTCCAGACCGTTGATTGTGTCAGTGGTAGATATCATGTCGCCATCTTCTGTGTAGGCTATCTGCCAGTGAACATCGTAAAACAACGAACTGATTTCGAGCATCTTTTCGATCAGGGCTTCGGCAAGACCTGGAAATCCTTCGAATTTGTATTTGTCACCACGTTCCATGGAGATTTTAACCAGATGATGTAGAGCGTAATCTTGCTCATCTTTGATGCCTGATCTCAGAGAACAGAGGCAACGAACGTAGATGTTGGGTCCATCAAAACCAGCTTCGCGAATCATTAGTACCCACTCTTGAGACGGAATAACAATCTCAGAGGAAACATTAGAAAACTTACTGCCGGGTAACATCATCCCCCTTGGAATTGTACTAGCTTTGGCACCTTCTGCGGCCGCAGCTGCATCTTTCAATGCCTTCTGACGTCGCGCAAACTCGATGGGGTTATTTCCAGGTGTAATAATAGGTCGCAGTGTCAATGGCATCTGGAGTCGAGGTTCGTAATTTGTAACTGCGAGAGACATATTTTCGGTACCAGATGAAGGATTATGTGAGAAGGGACCACCAACTCGTGGCATGTGATGTTGATGCGAATGGGAGGGCGTTTGGTGTTGAGGTAAGTGGTGCTGTGGAGTTGGTGGAGGATGGGAAGTCGCGGAGGGATGTTGTCGAACTTGTCGAGATGGTTGGGTATCGGGTTGAAACAACACCCGCTGTGGGGGAGCTTGTCGTAGACCTCGAGTCATTCTGCCTCCAGATCCAGGCGTCTCTTCACTTCCATTTCTATCGCGCACAGGTGTACCATCATCACCAGAAGCCTCCGAATTTTCTGTACCAAGCATGCCCGTCTCTCTACGAATCGAGGGTCTGAAATTGTCCAACGTCCGAAAAAGAAGCCCCCCTCCTTTAGCGGTTGTATCTTCCAGGATTTCACGGGGAGGTGGCACCTTTCCATGGTACGTTGAGATTTCATATGCGGCGAGGTATTTGTAATATGTTGTTTTGAGACTAAATGCCAGCGCAGGTAAATTATTAGCTCCCAAGTTGAAATCTGAACCAAGCTTTCTCCAGGCAAGTTTTTCATCGCTAACTTTATCGTAGCCACCGCGCTCAATTACAGTATTGTAAAGGTGCAATAGGTCGATTGTCTTAGTTCCAACTCGTGGTTCAGGATCGAAATGCGTGCCTCTCTTTTCATGATAGACTTTAAGTTTTGCGATAAAATCCTCATATTCGGGAGTGTGAACGATTGAGGTATCGTGGTGAATAACTCTTGGGGGCGCCATCGTAATATCCTGCCATGCGATATTTATGGCGATCCAATGGTTGTCCAAAAAGCTTCTTTTGATGCGACAATTAAATCAACGCGTAGAAATTGCGACGGCGACGCGATCGGTCGTTAGAGGTTGTGAGCTCCGGATTGATTTTTGGGTGAGAAATGTAAGTGTGCCCGAAATTTAAGGTATTAATTATTTTACTTGACATGAACGCTAGGTAGAGGACCGTGCGTTGTATGGCCGAAGTTCAGTGGCCTGTGCGTGGCATGATACTTGCCATACCTATCTCCAACTCTGAACAATCGTCCGTACCTCCACTTACAACAAACTGTCTTCAGTTCAATTCCTTGAAAAACTTCAATTGAAAGGGACAACTATCTGAAAGGAATCCGATCAAAGTTGGTTGATACAGGGACAGCGACACTGACATGACTACCATCCTAAGGTTGTCTATGTCACCATTGCTATCATTCAAACATTGATCTCAAACTGACAAATTCCCGTTACTGACTTCCATAGTATATATCATCCCAAAGTCCTCTATGTTACTTCTGTTCTATTCTTCCTTTCTTTCTTATCTCCCATTTCTCCATTCTTTTCTCAATACATCATCTATGCAGTCGTTGTCGTTTATTTTCCCTTCAAATATCCTTAACTTCGTAGTTCGAGATGTCTCGTTTCTTTTCTCAAGAGTCTCTTACTTCCTCACAATCGCAACTGAATTCGTCCATCGTTGTTCCTCTCGTCAAGTTCTCATGCTCTTTAACCAATCAAGGTGATGCCACAAGTGCTCAATGGACTCATTACTCGAGAAGTGATCTTGAACTTGTGATTCAAGAGGTGCAAGTTGGTGGTTCAGGGAATGAAAGATACTTATCAATGAAAGTAGTGGCAGGCGCTGAGTATCTGGTATGTGATCAATCTCCGTGCAAGGCTTTCAATGTTGTAACACCTTTCAAGGAAGAACAGAATTTAAACGATGTCGTGAGGATTTACAAGAACTTCGTTTTATCTCCAGGTAGCGAGGTTCCAGTGAGAGTAGTGGTTAAGCCTCCACTTCTCGCATTGCGATACCCAAAGCTCAATGATGTAAGTTAAGAGCGCCGCAAGTCTCTTTCTTCCCTTTCATAGCAGCTGACATTAATTCTTTAGATTCGTAGGTTGCAATTCAGGTTTCGTGGTGACTCAGACTTCAATCAGGTTCTCAATATCTTGACAAACTTGGGTTTGACGGCAACAGAAAGTTTGTCGTCAGGGCCTGTCTTGCAATCCCGTCCACCAACTGCAGACTCGACGTCTTCGGGAATATCTAATGGATATTCTTCAGTTGCAGGTTATCTGCCTTTAACTCCAAACAGCGAATTCAAAGTTCCCATGCGGCCAGACTCAGCTAGTTCTATACTTCAGAGACCGAGTAGCTCTTATACACCCCAATCCGACAATCACCTCTACGTCAGACCGCAATCTGCCATGTCAATATCTTCATTTATGCCTCAGTCTAAACCATCTTCCGAACCACTCAATAGAGCGCAATCATTATATGTTTCTCAGTTCGAGCGAGAGGTATGTCCTGTTCTTTTCTTTTCATTTAATTTGATTTTAATCTTCAATAGCAACGACAAATTCAATCCTCAAACTCTCTGCTGAATACCTCAGATAAGGTGCCTGCAAATGGTAATGCACACGTGAATCGAATTTTGTTGCCAAAAGCCGAAGAATCCCAACGTCGGTTTTCTACCTCGCCTTTCTTCGAAACACAAAGGAAGCATTGCCTGCCCGATAGAATGAATTTGTTCTCTTCTGTCAACGATCCCCATAATTCAAGAAATAAAATACTTGAAAATGCACTAGACTTTTTCAGTCCAGTCGAAGATCGTTCATCGCCTCGTTCGACCGAGTATCCGTTCTTTGGTGCACCAGGAAAACGCCCAATATCTCTTCCAGCCGAGAATGATATTTGCCTGGGCCTTCCTATCCCACCAAAGCGACAATTGCCATTTGCGACTGTGAAAGAGCCTTTAAGATCCAAATCTGTATCCGTAGCCGATACCAGTAGACCAGTTCAAGCCCCACAACAGCGAAAGCGACCCCTTGAAGAGTTCATGGGGGAAAGCACGTCAAATGGGAGTATCACGCCTGCTAAAAAGCCAGCAAAGAGACGTGTTGCAAGTCGCAAGGGTACTACGCATCTACCAGAAATTAATGACTTGTCAAGTAAAGCTTTTCCTTCAAAAGACAGCTCAGCAAGTGACACCCTTGACATCCCAATGCAGACAGCAAAATCGCCTCCTCTTGAAGCCAGGAGGATTGCAACACCAATCGCATCAGATAAAGCGCCATCAAAATTGCAAGCAGAAAGAATCGAGGCTAGACAACAGTCCGTACCAACTCTAAAAATGGTGAATAGATCTACTCAAACTCAAACCTTTTCAGGTCGAGACCACACAGCGGCTCTCAAACCTGCTTCGAATACCTCTGCAGTAGACCTTCAGTCGACACGACCGACAGCCTCTGTATTACAGGACGATTTGGATCTCGTTGTGTCAAGATACAGTTCAGGCTCGCGGGTAAATCTGGCGCCAAATTACAACGATCTCCCCGATGACAAACGGCATAAAATGCTCAACGATTTTATAATCAAAAATTTAGAGAATGATGACTTTCTCAAATTAGCGGAGGATATGGATGTCTCTTGGCGTAGGATAGGTCTCACAAGATAGTTGAGCTTTGTTAGGTTAGTGTGACAATGGTCAGTGGTGGAAGAAAACGGCGTTTGGCTAACAGATGGATTTGATGCTTTGTTTTTGCTGGGTACGGGTAGCACAAAGTGCAGTTTTAAAATTAGCTAGATATCTGTAAATCTGTGAATGTTTTAACACTACAGCACTGATTATCTTCCGCTAAATTTACAGAATTACATAACAATACACAACAATACAGAAAACTCCTCGTCTGTATCTGAGCCCAGCCCAAGTGTGCGCCGCTATATACTTTACATCGCGACGAACTGGGTAGTCCCAAGATCGATCAATTCCCTCAACCATCCCATCACCATTCCCCACCAATAGCGTATCGAAAGACTCGTGTAAAAACTTTCCCTCCTGTCATACTCCATACTTGGGCCGTTCCCTATACGTTTAGCGTTTATACCATATAAGTATATATGATTGAGAGAAACCTCGTATATTTAAATGCTGACTTACCGCATTCAATGAGACACCTGTGAACATCAACGTGATGAAAACTCTTTCTGCGCCATTACTTCCATTTGGCCGCTCTGCAGCAATCAAATGCCGATTTATAGGTCGATAATTTGGTATTCGATACTGATCTCGAGGCCAGGACGGGGGATTATCGACGTTCTCTGGTATGTTTGAGGTATTCGGCGGTACTATCATATCATTCATTCCCCTATCGTCACCAGTGTGATGAATGTCATATTCGGCCAGTGTCTGGCGGGAAGAGATGGTAATGGGATTATCCGTTATTGTGGCCGACATCCTTTCGAAAACGAACAGAACGAAGTTATTGCTACGATAGACACTTTTTCCTGGGAGATAATGAAAGCTATCCAAGTATTTTTCGAATTAGTCAGTGGGTGTGCGGACTGACGGGACACTACAAAAAGTTGACTCGTGGATATCTTCTGATGAATTAATTTTTATATCTTAAGAATTATCACAATCATTCATTAGAAATGGAACAATCAAAATGTGGAATTCGATGTTAAACAATTGAAGAATGAATTTGTTTGAAAAAAAATAAAGAATTGAGAAGTGTTCCGTCAACCCATGCACCCACCGACTTGTAAAACACATCATGTCTTGAGCAGTGAATCCTTGCAATTTCGGGGAAACTCCTCCCCACCCTCCACATTCCGCCAACCCCTAGACTCTCCCCGCATCTCGGATGAGGAGTATTTTGATTCCCGTAAACTTTATGATATCCATACTGTATTCAATTTAAGATGTATCATTACATAACCCCAAAATAAATTTGTAACATTTTGCAGTACTGGTATCAACATGGCATCATTCGGCATAGACAATCTACGAGCATCTGTAATTGATGGGAGATCCAACAATGTTAGATACAGACAAAATGAGCTTCAGAGTCTCCACAAAGCTCTCCGAGACAATGTCGACAGGATCACATCAGCAATCTCAGAAGATCTCTTCGGCCACGTTCGAAAAATCGATACTGAAGTCCTCTGCGTGTTTTATCTTGCTTCTGACGTGGTCCGGAGATCCTATCAAACGCTTAACTTCAAGGAATCGATAAGCAACGAATATAAGGTTGCCAATGGTATAGATTTCTTGTCGCGTAAAATTGGAAAGGGATTGGTAGTCATTCGGCCGACGACGCATACAAGACTTTACTCAATCATATGTCCGATAGCAATTGCTATTGCCGCCGGGAACTGTGTCTGTTTAGAGGTACGTGAAAAAGATTTCTCTTGATAGCTACGAAATATATACTGAGACATGACTAGCTTGGGGACACAACTTCAAAAGTTGACAGCATCTTGAAAGAACTGTTACCCCAAGCCTTAAACAACGACACATTTTACATCTCACCGAGGAATCTACAAGACTCTTCGATCCTTGAATCGGCACTACTAGTCGATCAAGCAAGCGATTCTTCAACCTCGAACATTAATCAACTCATCTCAAAATCGTCAAATCGAACAGTTGCAGTTGTTGATCGAACAGCAGATATTGAAAGTGCAGCCAAATCTATTGTCACTGCTCGATTTTCTTTTCAAGGAACCTCGGCATACAGTCCCGATTTAGTCATCGTCAATGAATTTGTCAAAAGTGATTTTATAGAAGCTTGTACGAGACATGCGAGCAAATTCTTTTCCTCTAATAGCAGTACCCAAAGTAGACAAAACGATGGAATTTCTGCCACCAAAAAGGCACTCAGGGACGCTGAAAACAAAAAGCAAATCTCAACTTTTGGATCCAATAACTTTGTTCTTGTTGATGTTGTGGATAGGTAAATATATCAATGTCTATGCTTGTTCCCAGCAATCAAAACGTCAGCTAAGATAATCCAGGGCATCGACCATTACAGAGATGAAAATTAGCGGCTGCAACCTACTAATCATGGGAACTACAAGTTTAGTGGATGCCATCATGACGCAAAAATCAAAGTGAGTTCACGAAGTTCCGTCCACGACGATAGAATAAAGTACTTATAAAATATTTCCAGATCTCCATTACTCGCCTTGTACATATTTTCAGACTTATCAACCGCAAAGTTTCTCGCTCAACATTTCAATGCCAGCACCAGTTACGTAAACCACATTCCACTGCACCTCCTCGTTGGACCCGCTGCTCCCTCAACACCGCTTCCAATTCCTGCGTTTCACAAATATAGCGTGGAGATGTTTTCATCTCCATGCCCACAATATACCGCTCTTCCGCCCGAAGATTTCTTGCTTATTGATAAGGTTCTTGCAGGGGGATCAGAGGGTCATGAGCTTCTCAAAAAGACTCGAGAGGGTGCTGTAAAAGCACTGCCGGAAACGGGTCAGGCTCCTGGTCATGCCATTGGATTTTTTGAACAGGGAATTTTGTTGGGTGGTGGTTTGTTTCTGTCGGTTGTTGTCCCGACTTTAGGGTATGTATCTTGGGTTGGAGGGAGGTCTGCTTGGGGCACCATTTGGAGGCTGTGGCCGGGTAGAGCTTGAGTGCTTTTAAGATTTGTAAATGTGAGTTCGGTTCGTGTTCAAGGATGCTTGTTTTGGATTGTATTGTTATTGAATTCAATCTTTGGACATATAATGCGAGATAAACCCCTATTTGCAATTTATAGCGGACTGTGAAAGAGATCTCGTTTAGTGGGTTCCATGATAGCGACGCAAAAAGTCTGGAGGATACTTCCTATCAATAATAGCTCGACACTTTCCTAAAAACTGAGAGAAACTATTCTAGGATTTTGAATATCTCAAGAATAAGCACTCATGTATAGCAGAAAGTACCTAATAAAGTTGAATGACTAAATTCTCAAATTGGCGAACATACTGCATACAGATCACATAATTAAAAGAAGACTATCATTACATTCTCTTAGAAGCTCTAAGAACCCTAAACTTTACCCATTATTCTCGAATTTTCAGAGCCCCAGTTCCCAAAGGTATACTGGCTATTACACATATTCCTCAGCTCCCAGTCCTCTGCCCCCATCACAGCTGGAGTTCCCCGATCCTCAAAATCTCCACAAAGTCCTGCCACAAACATTGCAGCCATAAAATGATCATCTGTGCCATGCGCATCACGGTATTTGGGTAATTTCATCAACATTGTCACTGCTCTTCGCAATTCTGGTCCGGAGTTCTTGGTCATTGCATCTTCGAATTCTTGGCGGAATTCGAGCATTGCAGCATCTGGGGGGGATTCCATGGCGAAGTTATCTATATGGGGCTTGTGGTTAGCTCTTGGAGATAGGTGGTGGTAGAAGATTGATTCTGTACCTCGATACATTAACATCTGAAACCAATTATTTCGATACAAATTATGTACCGCACCTCCCGTCCCGATGAAGAGTACATCCTCTTTCCTTAACGGTCGTAGCGCAGTCCCTACCTTAGTATGATAATGAGGATCATATCGCGCGTTCATAGAGATAATAGTCGTTGGCGGGCATCCATCCGGGAACATTCGTATGAGGATTAAATAGGTATCATGGATCCAATCAAACTTATCATTGAATTTCGCTTTGAACCCATTCTTCTGCAAAAGCTCAACACAGCGAGTTGCCATGGGAATGTCAGGATTTAATTTGTATGGTACGTATTTTGAAGGGTGCACGTAGGCTACTGGAGATTTTCCGGGTGTGGGATTTGAGGCAACTTCGATTTCGTTGCCGAGAGTTGCCCAGTGTGCTCCCTAATTAGTGTTACAACTAAATACTGGATACTGGAAGGTATTCGAGGAAATTCTGCTACTGACCATCATTACCACGTGTTTTATCCCATTTGCTAGAGCTTCGTCGCCGCATTTTTTCCAATATGTTGCACTATCGGATTCTTCGCCAAGCATCATTGTGGAGCCATGAGAGAAGAAATGAACAGGAGTCAAATTCGTCGCTGGCGCCATTTGTACGGACATTGATTCTTTTTTCTCGAAGCTGATTATACCATTTGTCAAATTCGACATAAATTCTGGTTGACTCGGTCGTTTATGGTTTTCTATGAATAGGGGGTGAATAATGGATATATGTCCTGGAAATGCGGACTTTGAGAGCCAAAGAAGTGGGGCCGGCATGTTGTCGATCAATCTTAGGTTGTATGAACATACCTTCTTTCCCCGCACATTACAACCTCCACTACGGCAAGTAACCAGCAGATCGCCCGCTTACACACCAAAGTACCTAAGCTTAACCTGGAAGAGGCCGCGTGGTTGTCAAATCTGAAGAGGGACACTGAATGAGATTAAAGAGATCAGATCTCTCCGTATCCAACTCCGCCTCCACCTCCGCCTCCTCCTTCAACTGTCACTAAGACGAGACGACAAGCATTTGGCTCCTCTCCCGCGCCAGATATGTCGGATCATTCAACCTTTGACAACGGCAGTGATGCACTAAGCATTCTAATCGATGCAGCGAGTTCAATTGGGGCCGACCGACAAACGCATCCGGGATTCGCTCGGTCATCGCCGCCGATGCCTCCAGCACCAGCCGTGAACCAATGTCGAATATGTCAACGAACCTATGAACGAGGGGACCACCTCACTCGTCACATGAGGTCACATGAGAATTCTCGACCCTTCCGGTGTCAGCGATGTCCAAAGACTTTCAATCGCGTTGACCTTCTCAATCGCCACGTTGCCACTCATGAACGTAATTTGGGTCAAAGCCGCCCAGAGATTAGACGAACAGAGAGAGCTGGAAAAGCATGTATAGCATGCGCAACAGCAAAGGCAAAGTGTGAAGAGCAAAAACCGTGTTTGCGATGCCGAACAAAAAATCTCGTTTGTGAAGTATCCCAGCAATCTTATAAGAAAAGATGTGTTTCGGGTGTTGCGTAAGTTTATCACTCACAAAGCCTGAAGCTTGGACACTACTCCATTGTCTTCTCCATCATCACCGAGATGTACACTTTCCCATAATCTGGACTGCAGTCTGACAATAAAAAGCTTTAATTGTTTGGATTCAATTGAAAGATTCAGATTATCTCAGTGGTTGAGATCGATCTATTTCAGTAATCGAAAGCTTCATTATTATTCGAATAGCTTGAATTCAATTTGCTAGTCCGGATTGTTGAGCATTTTAGCCCCCCCGCCGCTTCTCTGAACCCCTTCCACAACTATTCGAAGTGACTCGATGCTGACATACTAGTCGGCATAGGAAAGAGCCACGTGACTCTAATCCGGAGCAAGACTCTCTTCCTCTAGATTCTGTGATACAACCTTCGAGCATATTAGATCCTATTCTACATAGCAATGATGGAACTGATGATTACACAACAACGAGTTCCTATCCGGACTATAGCGCCGAGAATGCAGAAGCAATACTGCAATCTTCTTTCTCCTTATCTGCACTAAACTCGGACAAATCAACGGAATTCAATTTTGTTCAAGACCAACTACCTTTCGATAATCTTTCCAATGAAATGCTTTTCTTTCCTTCAACAATTTTCAACAATCAGATCTCAGACTTCAGTTTTGAGGACTTCAACTTTCAGGAAGAGAATTTCGAATTTACCCCCATGGTTTCAAAACGTCTGACAGTCGACGAGAGTACTGTCTCTGGGCCTTCACGAAAGGTCAATGATTCTAGAAGGGATGTTGCTCGAGGGCATGCAGCATTTGCCCGCTCGCCTTGGCTATGGACGCCAGCTTCAACCGATCACATTCTCAGGGATCGGGATAATTTAGCGGTTGATGAAGAAAACATATCTTTAAATCTCTCCCCTAACGGTGCAAGGCCTTATGAACATCTCTCTATAACATCTTCCTTGCGAGACAAGATGTTTCACCTCGTCTCCACGACTAACAAATATGCGAGTGGTATACCAAGTTTTCCTTCTTTAGATTTACTGAATTGTACGATTGAAGCGTTTTTCTGCCAGCAAAGCAATCAAGACGATAATTGGATTCACACCCCAACAATATATTTAAAAGATGCCCAACCAGAGCTTTTGATTGCCATCGTGGCTGTTGGATCCACTGCCATCTCCTTACCTGCTGTATGGAGAATGGGACTGGCCCTTCAGGATGTAGTGAGATTGAGTGTATCTGAATTGGTAATATCATCCTTTTGGAATTCAGGAGCCGTGCTAATTCTATTCTAACACAGTGGGAAAGGGCTAACAGTAACACTCGAAAACTCCAGCCACTACAAGCTTGGATGCTTTCCCTCGAGCTTGGTTTATGGAGTGGTTTTCAGAGAAACATGGAACTAGCCGAGAGTTTCTCGCAACCTTTGATCACGGTAAATGATTCATCACTTTTTTCCTAAATAGGGTGTCATTTGCTTCAAGAAATTCAAATGATTTAAATTCCTCGTATTATTGAACTGTCGTTTGGACTATTGGACTCACTTGTCTGGGGAAAAGTCGACATTAGAATTCAGGCTGATTGGTTTAGATGATGCGCCGTGGTGGAATTTTGTCAGCCGCTTCAGATTCCCAGAATCTGATGCCAAACCAAAATGATACCGGAAAAAGCCTGGAAGCAAAATGGCAAACGTGGGCACAAAGAGAGTCTTTCAAAAGGTATGTTTGGATACACTCATGAATACTGCAGCCGGCTTACCCTTCATTTTTGAGATTGTCTCTCAAACTGTTTCAGCATGACACTCGTGCTTCTTTAGCCCTTCAAAAACCCCCATTGATTAACTTTACGGAACTATCTTTCTCAGTACCCGCATCTCGTGAATTATTTCTAGCTGAATCTGCAGCGGATTGGAAGTCAGTGTACCTGAAAAAAACTCATTCATCGGTGGTCCCACCACCTCGCTTGATCGATATTATGCACAACTCCTGTGGTCTCGAAGATCTGGATGAACTTTGGAACGTAGATCTGTGTTATGAAGCAGCGTTGAATGGCTTTTGGGGGCAAATATGGGCAATCGGAGAGTCAGCCCGTTTTCATGGTATTGATGGAAATAAAGACTCGGTTCATCGGCTATGGATAAGTACTCAGCAGCGAGAGCTTTATCGTGAAGTCGAAAACTTTCGAGATCGAATTTTAGGCAGAGCAAAATTACCTTCAGGACTTAACATCACAGCCGAATTATTTTTGCTAGCTCTGTGTGTTTCTCCTGATGAGTTACAGCGATTCGCTGGTAAATCCGGCCAAGAAGCAGCATCTCAGAGTTTGAAATCATTAGAACGATGGTATACAACGGAAAGTGCAAGGAGGGCAATTTGGCACGCCGGACAAATCTTTCACTGGGCTTCGTTGATGGCTCCGGCTCAGTTGCGGGATTTCTACACCGTTGCCGTCTACTTTGCCAGTCTTACCATGTGGGCATATGGACATCTCTCAAATAGCATCGCCCGCGAGAGTAATAATGAGACAAAGAAGACTCGCGATTCCCCTCAACCAGAGGTTAATCTTATTGGTCCCGAAAGTCGCGAGACTCGGTCATTCATATCCAGTGGTCAAGGGACGCCGATTCTAATCCTGCCACCTCGAAATTCAACGGATATCAATGCTATCGCCGGAACGTCTGAAACCGACGACTTCAATTTGAACAACGAAAAGATCCGACTGAGTAACCCTAATGAGGTGCTTAAGATGGCGCGAGATCTCTATCGAAGCAACTTTCCAATTCTGGAGGAACCGCTTCCGCCTCTGGTGGAGAATTGTAGCAATTTGATGAGGGATCTTAGTTGTGTTCCCGAAAGTCGATTTTCTAGATGTGCTAGTCCGACAGAGAAATAAAAAAACTGATTTGAGGCACGATGAATTGTTTGCTACTACGCTGGTGTAGATGACCCTGTTCGTTGGGTTGGGTAATGTCTTCGATAGTTCGAACTGCGATCCAACACTAAAAGGGTTTCGAATTTTAGGTTTGTTATAATTGGGGAACACATTATTTGGGAGATGCAAATCATTTGAAAAATCCATATTTTCGACGCCGTTTAGTCTTCTAGTCCATACTGTTGAAAATCTTGAGGTTTGGGAACTAACTGTGTGTCTCTCAACGTGTGCTCCTAGGAGATTTGCGGTCTTCACATCCAGAAAATTTCCCGTTGGACAAACATTAGATTACATCTGTAGCTTTGGTGATTGCCAAGATCATTGTCATTCAAGCAGTGTATCAGGCAAAGCCAGTATGATGTTGTTCGTCCTTTCAGGGATTCACCGAATGCCAAGACCGTGAATCTCTCAGGAATATACGGTAACTACACTTGTTTACTCATTGCGGCAGGTGATCGTGCACATCTATCACAAATCAGACATAAATTTGTACTAAAGTGATTTATCTGCGCCATACACCGAAAAACAGGGACCGGCCCAGGGTGGGTGCTTGCATGAGCCCCTGATCAATTAGTCGCCCATAGCGTCATCCCGAATGGAAATCTCGCGTCCGCCATCACTCCCCCACATTCCGCAACCTTTCCATAATATCCAGCTCGGCATTTAGCTGCAGCCCGGCAGGGACTTTGCTAACACTTGAGCTACTAGTGACGGCGATTTTAGTGATAGGAAAGACACCGGGCCCTAGAAATACAGCAACTGATGTTTTGAACAAGTACATCTCGATCACCTTGGCCGAAGAGAAATATCAATCATTAGCGAATCAACATTCACGATGACCACCACCAATAAGATTAGAGATATTCTGGAAGTCATTGAAGACAAAGAGAATGGATTGGTATTTGAGAAAAATGTCTCTATTCCATTGAAAGCATCTGATCTTCCAGTGAGATGCAATGTCTATAGACCAATTGCTCCAGAAGGTGCCAAATTCCCTGTCCTTGTGACATATGGACCTTATGGAAAAGACATTCCTTACGATAAGTGAGTATAGGCCGTCAAGCATCCTTTCACATAAGTTATTATAGAGTGAACCACGCATACTGACATTGTCGTCCCGAAAGTTTCTTCGCCAAATCCTTCAGCGAGGTAAACCCTGAGCACAAAAGTAAATATAGCGCTTGGGAAACCCCAGATCCAGTATTCTGGACTTCTAAAGGATATGTGGTTGTGAGGGCAGATGAGAGAGGGCTGGGCCAAAGTCCTGGGCTCTTAGATACAATGTCTCGAGGCACAAGCGAGTGTTTCTTTGATGTTGTTGAGTGGGCATCCGAGCAACCTTGGTCTTCTGGGAAAGTTGGACTTTTGGGAATCAGTTATTATGCAGGTATGCAATGCCGACTGATTAATTTCTAACCTTGTCTATTCTGTGCTGATATATCATGTAGGCAGTCAATGGCGTGTTGCAGCTCGTAGACCAAAGGGTCTTGCGGCTATTATACCATGGGAGGGAATGACTGATTATTACCGTGATCGATGCAGACATGGTGGAATCCTCTCAGATGAATTCATCCGATTTTGGTGGAACAGACAAGTTATTACCAATCAATATGGTCGACCTGGACGTGCAGCTTCGAAATGGGGCGAGGATACCATTGAAGGGGATTTGGATGAAGAGACGCTTCTTAAGAATCGTAACGACCAGACTATCGATAACGTAAACAATCGCTTTTTGGATGACGATTATTACAAATCAAAGGATTTTAATCTGGAGGACATTGAGGTTCCGGTTTTATCGGTAGCGAATTGGGGAGGTATTCTGTTGCATCTTCGAGGTGAGTTCACGGATGTGAAGATTATTTTGATGGTCACTGATGAAAGTTATAGGCAATGTGAATGGCTACATGTGGGCAGGTTCCAAGTTCAAGTATCTCCGTTTCATTACTGGACGCCACGATCTTCCCTTTTACTACAAAAAAGAAGTTGAAATACAAAAATCGTTCCTCGACGCGTTTCTCAAAGATGACGATAAAATTGGCTGGTCTACCCCCGGAAAAGTCAGCCCTGTCAGCGTGATTCTTCGAAAAGGAGATGTTGGTTACAACAATGCCGAAGCCGAAACTAAATATGAACGAAGAGAAGAAACAGAATGGCCATTAGCAGGAACACAATATACCAAGTTCTATCTCACACCAGGGAAAACACTTTCCAGAGATCCGTCACCATCAAGTGAGGACAAAGTTTCATATGATGCGTTGGGAACTCTCAAAAATCCAAAGCTTGTCCAATTCACAAGCGCACCATTCGAGCAAGAAACAGAAATTACCGGGCATATCACCGCACATCTGAACGTATCCCTCTCCCCTTCTCCGTCAGCAACCGCCCCGGAGAAAGACATCGACATCTTTCTGACCCTCCGCCATATTTCCCCCTCAGGTGAAGAAATTTTCTACACCGGCACAGCAGGAGATCCGGTTCCACTAACTAAAGGCTGGCTCCGAGTTTCTCTCCGTAAAATTGCGGAGACCCATCCGCGGAATCTACCATACCAACCATATCGCGAATATCGCTCGGTTGATGTTCAGGAAGTTAAACCTGAAACCAGTTATGCAGTGGATGTTGAGGTGTGGCCTACTAATGTTGTGGTAGAGAAAGGGGGAAAGATTGTGCTGGAAGTGAGTTCGGGGGATACTCAGGGAAGTGGGATTTTTGCTCATGGGAATGAGAAAGATAGGTAAGTTTCCTGTTGTGATTGATTCCTTACTCGTCTGTCGTTTAGAAGAGATACACATGTGCTGACTTTGGAATTGTAGATCTGTAGATAAGTTTGCAGGTAAGAATAACATCCATTTCGGTGAAGGACAGGAGAATTTCGTCACATTGCCTATTGTGCCGTCAAGATCATAAGGGTGTAAAAATACCTAGTTGTCATGTAGTGTTGTAGAATTGAATGTTTTATGAACTTCGATGATTCAATTCTGCCGTACAAAATTGCTCTGGAGACCTCGGGAAGCGCAGATGATTAAAGGTCAAGTGTGATTAGTCTTCCATATTGCTGTCTGTGTATAAATCAAAATGTGCAATTTGAACTGAAGATAAAAAAGCTTATTTGCGATCTCATGTCCTCTTTTATTGAAGGCTAAGGGCCTTTTGAATAAGTTTAGGGAGCGTTCCTTGGCCATCATCTATCATTCCATGAACATCCCACGAAGTTGTGTCCCAAGTCCTGAGCCTTGAAGCAAAAATAACTGACATCTATGATATCCCACCGGTATTTTTCTCAATATAAGATGAGGATAATTATCGTCCAGAAGCTCCAAGATTAAGCAACAGTGAAAAATGGGTATCACATAGAACAAGTACACATCCAATTTATGAATAGCAGATCAAATTGGATGAGATCAGCTTGAAAGTCTATCATTGATTCACAGATCATAATACACAAAACTGTCATCGGATGGAAATCTCCTGCTCTTAATTCGATACAATTGAAAGCGAAACAATGTCCACTGATGATAAAGGTACACATGAATGTTTGTATTATGAAACCTTCAATCATGATCAGGTTATCTCTTCACGAATCCTTAGCCACTTTTCCTCACTCCATCCATTCCACCCAAATCCTCCTTCAACTCCTTCCCATCTTCTCCAATGACCGGCTTTGCCTCAGTCAGAACATATAGCATCCTCGCCCACTCTGTCTCACTACAGTTCCTCCAAGCATGAGCCGTAGCCCTCTGCACACAAATATCACCTCTCTTCATGATCCTCTTTTCACCCCCATCCAAAACCAACTCCACTTCCCCCTCAATAACCACCCCGTAATCCAAGCTTGTAGTTCTATGCATTGGTGAGAGATGCCCAGGTTCTATATCCACAACTCGGAGAACGTTGCCTCCTGGAATGACTAGGCCTGGTGGAGAAGATAGGTAATTCGTGTAGCTCGATATGTCTTTGTTGGAGCTCATTTCTACTGGAAATTCCGATGTGCAGTATCCCAGAAAGAACTTGGCGCCTTTCACAGCGGTCCAGGTAGATTCTGAGGAGAGGGAAGAGGATATTATGGCTTTGCCGTCACGGTCATGGTCGGTGATGTGTCGGGAAATGTTGGGAAGTGGACTAGGCTCTACTGCATTAACCATTTTGGCGGTTACGGAGTGTAAATTTTGATCTGGAAGGATGAGTGAAGTATGTCGAGATAAAGGCTTGGAGATATCAAGGGTTGAGTATCGTTATATGTTTTTCAAAATTGTATCGTGATATTATTTCTGTGAGGCCGAGGATAGGAAACTGGATGCGTGCATAAGTACCACCTACAGCTAAGACAAATGCTGCAAAGAGGAACAAGACAGTCCAATAATAATTCAATTAGATTCCACGCTCAAATCGAGATACTACAAGGGCTACGATAGTCTTTCCGTGGTTATTCCATCCGGATTCAGTAATTGAAAGAATTTCCGCATGTCGTTAAGGAGGGGTATGTGGGGCCGAGTGGAGGGTGACGATATGAAAATTACAAAAACGAAACTGCCGGTGGGTGCGGGCCCCCATAACCGACGGTGAATCGAGACCACATACAGAAATTGGTCAGAGTCTTTGAAGTGGGCGCCAGTCACGCTACAGAAATCAAAAATAGATGCCTGTATCGCGGCGGAAAAGCCAGAGAACGGACTTCGACGGACATTGTATGTCCATGAATGAGAATATACATATCTTTAATTGTCTGATTTCTCGGGATCACATTGACGACAATCATTAAATCTCACACCTAGCAATACCAAAAAGCGAGTTCACTTCCGAAGTGTTTTGATCTCCATACACCATAGAACCTCCAAATTAACGATGGCTACCAACGACAACATTAACGACCAATACAGACCTTTAAAGGTATTGATAGCGGGTGGTGGGATTGGAGGCCTCTCGGCAGCGATTTTTCTGCGGCAAGCAGGACACATTGTGGA